CACACACACACACACACACACACACACACACACACACACACACACACACACACACACACACACACACACACACACACACACACACACACACACGGCCCCCAGGTGTGAGGAGCAGGAGGACCACGCAGCGACAAGATATGGATTCACAGAGTAGAGGCAAGCATCTGTGTGATTTATTGAGATTTCACATACTATAACAGCTGCTGCTTTGAAAAGAAAGCATTGGATCAATTAGTCTATGCTCTCTTGAAATGATTCGACAGAAAATTCCGATTTATTTGAATTTCTAATCGTTCTATCCGATGTTAAATACATAAATGATTAAAATGCACTTCTTTCTTTGACAAATAAAGTAATTTCTCTCCCGACACAATCTGTTTGAATCTGTTTCTGTATTCATTTTTGTTGGGTAGAAATACAAATGTATATTCCCAGGAATAATCGTGGTCTGCTGAAGCCTGTTTGCATGCTCTGCTTTGAGCCCACACACCAGCTGCTGTGTGAAAGCACGCTGCGACTCATCAGTCACGCGAGTGGCTGTATCAGCGCTGAGCCGTACCGTCTGCACAGGTAAACACAGTGTGACGGCTTATCTCCAACACATTACATGTAAATCACTGAAAACCCTGACAGCACCACAGGAAATGCACATTAATATAAAACTATATAACGCAAATGGTTAAAGAAGGATATGTATGAGTGCATTTGTCCTGTTTGCAATAGAAAAAATTAGCTTTCTTCTTTTATTAAAAAGGTAACTCATCTGCCATTCCTCCCCTCCTCTTGTTTTTTTTGGTTCGAATATTCTGGTCCAAACTGATTGTGAGAATCTGTGTGAAGACAAAACGTTTTCTCACTTCATCCCCCTCCCTCTATTCCTACTGGGCCTATAATGGAGTGCCACCGGGTCCTAAAACCCGGATGTAAGCTGCGCATGGGTTCCTTCGATCCTATCATAAATCTATAGATTCGATTTATGATTCGAAAATGATAAAAGTAGGGTAGACATGTGGAGATTATCCGACTGAACAAAACGGGATCCGTCTCTTAAATGTGTGTCAACCACAGACCTTATTTCGAGCTATTTTCCAAAATCCTATGGAAAAATTGCATTGCTGTTTTGTGGAAGGAACCCATGCGCAGCTTACTTCCGGGGTTTAGGACGCGTCACTGTGGCACTCTGATGTCTCAGAGCAAGTGTTCACTCCTCTGAATACCTGGTGAGGGTACACACTCAATTCTGAATGGCCTATCGAGGTATTAGGAAATCTGTGCAGCCTGCATGTCTCTGTGGGTCAGCGGTATATACAGACGGGTATCCACAAACATTGATCACATGTCCACATTACATTAAATGATGTATGAGTTTCTCCAGTCCATACAGGCTGTGAAGACATCCCTTCCAAAAAATGTTCTCCAATGATAGAGAGTAGGTGGGAAAAAACCCTCCTCTAATGAAGCTAAAATGAAACCTCAGCTACATGAGAAAAATCCAGTGGGGATCTTCCAAAGTTAAGTGTTTTAACTCTACAAAATGTTGTAGAAATTCTCAGTCACCACCAACCAGGGGCGGACTGGGGGGGAAAAGTGGCCCGGGGATTAATTTACAGACAGGCTCACTTAATGCGCATAATGTACGCGCGACGAAAGTATGTTACTTAATGCATTTTATGTTATTTTGGACCATTATTCATATAGTAATCGCATTACCTGAGCCCTTGAGTTGCCTAGAGCAAAATATTTACAGCATATATTTTTTGATTTTAATGTTAACAGATCATTGATGCAATAATATTTTGACCCAAGGAATAAAACATGGGCGTAGGAAGCATCCTCAATGTGGGTGAGTCAATTTAACAGGGGGTGTGGGCAGGTGGTAGACCTCATGCATCAATCTGGTGCACTTTTGAGAGCAAAATTAGGGACTAAATCTATGGATACATCTCTCAACACCCATATGAAACAGAACTGTAAACAGATTTAGTTTTCCTTTCAACATTTATTTGAACAGCAAGTGGAGGCAAAAGTGACTGCACCCAAAACAATAAACCTGCTAGCTAACTAGCCTAAACTCAGTAACAGAATGTGGGCAACAACCTTATCGTTCACTGCGCAGTGACAGCTGCTACGGAGCTGTAAGTGTTGTGGCCGGAACACTTACAAATGTGGACCGGTAGGATTTAGTCAAAAAAGTCTTTTTTGGCCCTCCGGCCCACGCACAGCACTGGCCCACCGGGAAAACTCCCGGTATTCCCTATTGCCAGTCCGCCCCTGCCGGGAAGGCTGAGTAGTGTGATGCCTCTATAATTGGCACACACCCTCTGATCCCCCTTTTTGAAAAGGGGAACCACCACCCGGGTATGCCATTCCTTCGGTACTGCTTCCGACTTCAAGAAGTTAGAATTCTTATATGCTTTCCACCGGGTCAGAACGTTTATGGAGAACCATTAATATCAAATTCTGAAAATGTCAACTTACTTGCTTCTTTTTATTCTTTTGCTTCAAGATAACTGCATTGATTGCGGACAGAATTATTCAGTTTATCGCCACCTCAATGAAAATGCAAAATCATCAGTGAAAGAATTCTGGCAGTAAGTACTCACATTAGCAAAACAGTTTTTAGAGTCACTAAAATGTCTCTTTACATAACTTTCTTCTTGCACTCAGGAGGAGAGTCTTGGGTTTGTCTGGAGGAATTGAAGAGATGGGCAATATCCGCTGGGACCTGGCTGGATGTCTTCTGCAAAGCTGGGTCATCTGTTACTTCTGTATCTGGAAAGGAGTCAAGGCGACAGGAAAGGTGAGATGTATAAGCTTATTATTAAAGGTGTGCTAATAGAACTGGATTCATCATTAAAACCAAATGTATGGGTTTATTGACCACAATTAATTACCCTCAGGTTGTGTACATCACAGCCACTTTTCCAGTTGTGATGTTGATTGTGATGCTGATCCATGGGCTGACATTGCCAGGAGCTGTAACTGGAATTAGATATTACCTTTATCCTGATCTGACCCGTCTGACTGATCCTCAGGTGAGGTTTATGTGTGACAAATGAGTGATGTGTAAGTGACACACTGCACAGAACAATACTTGGCTAACAAGTGTTAGCCAAGTATTGTTCTGTGCAGTGTGTCACTTACACATCACTCATTTGTCACACATAAACCTCACCTGAGGATCAGTCAGACGGGTCAGATCAGGATNCAAACACACACACACACACACACACACACACACACACACACACACACACACACACACACACACACACACACCTACACCTGAATGCCACTGAGTAACAGTCTCCTGTGATTACATTGTGTAATTCTCCTAGGATTTACAACACACACCTCACTGCTACCAAGTAATCGCCTCCTATGATTACATTGCATGTTCTTTCAAGATCTGCACTCACATGCCGCAAGACTCTCTCACACACACACACACACACACACACACACACACACACACACACACACACACACACACACACACACACACACACACACACACACAAACCAATGTGCGCAAAGCCATTTTACCCAGAGGAATAATCTCTGTGGCTGCTATTTAGAGTGAGCGAGTTTCCTCTAACTGGATTACTGCAGCCACTCCTGCTGCTGCCACAGGGGAGATAGAGCCGGGGTGGAAAGGCTTTCCAGAAACCGAAGAGTTACCAGAAAAAGGTGGGGCAGCAGCCGTCAAATCTAACTTTGCTCTCAAAACTCAAATTTAAATACGTTGGAGTTAGGTCTCCTGGCACATGTCCACAACATTCGCCTTTGCCCAAAAGAGAGGGAAGGAAAAAAGCTGCCTCCATCACATTTTGTGCTGATCAGGAAAAGAGTTGGCAAAGCACTTTCTTTTCATTTGAGGACCACTGTGATACCTGCTACAATCAGCAAACACTACTTAGGTGCAACTCCTAAATTTCTACGTATAAACCTGGAAACTTTTAACATTAAAACACATTTTATTTATCGTTCCTCTTGTGAATTAGTTGCTAATAAAATGCCATATTGTCCTGGGGCCTCATTTATAACGCCGTGCGTAGGATTCACGTGGGTAGGTTGCTTACGTAGTAGAAATCCAAAAAATAGGTACAGACATTTTCCGACATTTTCCGATTCACCAAACATTGCTTACCGGCGAGGAAAGTGCGTACAGCACTTCCTACGCTGGTTTCCCTTTATAAATCACAATCGACTCGAAATGCGGTGCAGCTTTTGCGGGCTTCACGTAACGCCCATATTTGCCTATACATAGTCAAAGAAACGCACATTCATTCATTCATTTTGACTGACTTTATGAAGAAGATCGCAGGAAATGACGACAGAACAGCTAAAAAAGACATCTCACACCGTGTCAGATTTTGGTTATTTTGGGGAGGTCGAGATAAATCATATTGTTTGGTGGATGCAGTTTGAACCAGAGTAGCAGCATGGAGGTCGGA